AGGTGTCCCTGCCCAGGGCAGGGTGGGATGGGATGAGCTTTAAGGTCCTTCCAACCCAAACCATTCTATGCTGATTTTCCTACATTTTCCTATGCTGAGTCCCAACATTGTGGAAGTGTTGCCAATGTTTATTCTATAAACAAGAGACTCATTTTGAGTGTTCCATGGGACCTCAAAACCAGGAGCTGCACAAACACAACTTTACATAAGAATACATAAGTACATTTTTAATACATTAGAATAAATTACATCTCCTCTCTTCCTTGAGAGCTTCTATTTTTGGTGAGCCAAGCCCTGAGCCCCCAGGTCCTCTGCCTGGTATGAACAGTGGCAATAAGTATCTCCTGCTGAGATAAGTGACTCATTAGGAATGCTGCAAACTACAATAGAGCACTAGGAGAGTGAGAAGCTGAAGGAAAAACAATCATGGATCACAACTTACTTCCCCAAGGCAAAGCACTCCAGTTTCACCGTTGTTCCTTTTGCAGATGGAACAGTTTCTGGGAACTGCACTTCTATTTTCGGCTCATACTCTCCCATCACCCCTGTGAACATAAAAAAGATGCTAAGGCTTGGTTGGATTCCTGCAATAAATTCACAAGTGTTCCCGTGCTAGCACAGAGCTCTTCCATACATCATTACTTGCCCAATTAATCCATTCAGTTTAAACATGGTCTGTTCCTAACAGCCATGGAGTGTGGGCTCCTGTCCCATTTCCTGCCAGAGCAGAGTCCCAGCCAGAGCTCACACCATCTGCCAAAGATGAACATTCTTCATGGCTCTTTACTTTTGGCTTTAGAATAGTCAGAGGTTTTGCAGGTAACTTGGGAAGTACAGGAGGCAATAACAAGGGAGGTTCAGTACCTTCTGGAAAATGCAACGTGGAACAAACAGCCATCAGGAAAAAGTTTTAAAAGCATTGGAGCTAATAGAAGCTTCTGTTAACTCTGAGGATTTCCATGTGCAGAGATCACAGACTCTTTGGGTAATATCTTTGCTTTTACTGCCCCAGTAAATCCTGGAGCGTGGCAGCCTCTTTATGAAATTGTGTTTAAAAATTTGTGCCCATAAAAAGGCCATTACCCTCATGATAAATGGCCACGTTTCCACTCACTGTACTGTCTTAAACCCAGCACAGAGAATTCCACCAATAGTGATTATCAGCTAATTGATGATTGCAGTTCCAGCCTCAGCAGTGTGGAGCTGCCTGGACGTGGGCCAAGCCTGGGTCAGACCAGATGAATCCCACAACCACAGGAACGAGACAGCGTGAGGGACACTCAGATGAGACAGCAGCAATCCACAGCAGCATTTGGGGCTGCTGCTCTCTGTCCTCTGCTTTTCACACAGCATCCAAGAAAACCCTGTTTTTTGTTAATTTGTCAGAGTTATAAAGCTGAAACTGCTCAGTGTGAGGATTACATTCATTACACCTTCCCTGTGAGCACAGGCTGAGGGAGTTGGGGCTGTCCAGCTTGCAGAAGAGAAGGTTGTGTGGAGAGCTCAGAGCACCTGCAGGAGCTGAAGGGGCTCCAGGGAAGCTGCAGAGGGATCTGTGTTAGGAGCTGCAGGGACAGGACACGGAGTAATAGGGATGAAGTGAAAGAGGGAAATTCAGATTAGATATTAGGAAGAAGAATCCCAGACTGGTT